AAACATTACTTTACTCCCTCTCTCTTTCTATATAGTAGAAGTCTACATCAAAAGCAGGTTTGGAGCATGTGTTCAAGTCGTGCAAGCATCAAATTTTGAAATATTTTCAAGAGTGGTTTGGTTATTTTAAGTCCGAAGAGATGTGCCAACAGTATATTGAGGAGTGTAAACATCGGGTCTCTGTATAAAGATCCAAAAATTCAAATGAGCATTCATACTCCAACTATTTCTGAAATTGATACGATAAATATTATTACTTTTTAAAAAAGGTTTTTAGATCCAAAGGCCTGTCAAACGGTTGTGTAAAACCCTCTTTTAGGTGTGCTGGATATTTTTTTTCTTTCTTTCTTATTCAGCTGCCTCCATAAGTTTTAGATTTTCTTAGTTTTATGTTAACAATAGATTAGTCTCTTAATTATGGTATTCCTATATTCATATTTATCTTATAAATAAGCTTTTCAACTTTATAATATAAAATAATCAAATTATTACTAATAATTTAGAAAGTGTTCGGCATGACCTATGCATGATTTTGAATCATAACCAAAAGCTTGGAAGTAATTCTCAAAAAGTTATTTTGCGCAAAAATAAAAGAAAGTTGAAAAAATTATAACGTAAAAAATTCTTTAAGTTGTTATTTTTCATGAAAAAGATTGTTTCCTTAATTGAAGGAACTTAGAGCCAAAATCAATACTCAAAAGTTATTCATAGTAAAATCTAACTTTAGGCAATAAATTATTAACTTATTTTGGAACAGAAACTTAGTGTCCCTTTTGATAATGTGACTAGTGATGGGACTTTTCTTGCCTAAGATTTTTGGTTTTTGTCTCACAATAATTTCTATGATAACGAGACATATCTACATCGATTAGTTTCCTTCACATAGTTATCTTACATTTCGATCTCAATATAAAGCTAATGAGATTTTATGTGATATTTTAGCTCCTTTTACATAATACTCCAAAACTCTTGATGTACACTTGATTTGGACACCCTAACTATAATCATGAGCTGGGATCTTGAAAACTAATAATTTCTATTAGTATATATTGATTTCATATTGGATTATAATCAAAGAACTTAAATGCTAAGACAATGATAGTTAGGTAGCAACTTGCGATGATTTGTAACCTGGAAGTGTTTTAATTTGTAACTTGACCGACATATTTTATTAATTTAATTAACAGTAATGTTGTTAATGAATCACAAGTTTGTTTGTTTGTTGTTTTTTTTTGGAAAATATGGGCATATAGTTTATGTTGGGATACATATAAAAAAATTTTCTGCTTCATATATATCGGAATTAAAATTTAAAATATCTTTATAAATGTAGTTAATCAAACACACACAAATATAAAGCTTTTCTTTAAAGAAGAAAACATATATATATATATATATATATTTCTTAGAAATCAATGGTTGGAAATAACACATAGTTGGTTAACAAGGTATATTTGCATGCATACCATGTCTGAAAAAACCAAAAGAAGGAAAAAAAAAAGTTACTCTTATTTATTTCTTTGTTTATTTTCCAAGTAAATAGAGAATAAAAGAAATGCGAAAGTGGAAAAAAATTGGTGAGAAACAAAAGGATTGATTGTTATTAATTTATTATTCAATTTATTGCCTATTTTAATCTCTTAATTTGCAGACAATCGTTCTGCTGGTTAACTAATAAGGGATTATCCAATAATATTAGAGTTTGTTATTCTGATTCCATCCCTGCTGGTGAGAATCGCTATCTTTTGACTTTGGAGCTTGTAATTTTCTGTTTTTTGGGCGGCTAAGACCCTATCAATATAATTAAAAAAAGAAGCTCATAATATAGTTCTAAAAAAATTATTAATACAATACTAACATTATAATATACTACCATTGCTAATAAGTACAAAAATTATCCCATTTAATTAACAAAAATACCAATATTGGTAAAATTATTAAAAAATATATTAATTCTCTAAAAGGTAGGCTATTTTTGAGAATGAATCCTAAAATATAGGGTTATCCTATTCTTTTATTATTTTCATATTTTTACACAACTTAAAACCCTAAATAATATAAAACAAGCTACTGCAATCATTCCTAACCTATATATATATAGTACTATACTTTATTTTGACAATCAGAATGCTAAAAGAAAAACCTTAAAAACAAGCCAATAAGAAATATGAAGCATTAAAATTTAAAAATATTTAAATTGCATAAAAAAGCATCAAATTATTAAATTGAATCCTTAGTTATTTTTTATTATTGTTTTATGTTATTTTTTACTCTTATAAACAAGTAGTAATATTATTAAAAGAAAAATGAAAGTTTTATGAAAAAGAATATATAAAAATTTTATTCATGTATGTATGTTTAATTTATATTCATGTAACATATAATTGCAATAAAATATTTTAAATAAAACAAAAGGTTCAGTATGATATAATGTTAATTAAAACCTTTTTAGTAATTATTATCTTTAGGATATATATATTTATTCTAATAATTTATTGTTAATTATTTTGAAATATAATTCACTTTATGTTCCTTTTTTTTTTTACTTAAATCTTGTTAAAACTATTTTATATGGTTCAAAATTAAACAATCTAATTTAATTGTTATTATAAAATTTATATAAAATTATTTGAAAATCAAACATGTTTAGTAAGAATTCAGATTTATTTATTTATAAATAATTCTAAGCAATTATTATAAATTAAAGAAAATAATATAAATTATTTAGATAATACATATGCGAAGCACATGTCAAAAAACTAATTATCAATAAGTTCACTTTTCAACTAAAAGACCAATATTTTCTATCAAAATACTTTTTTTATTAATAAGTTCATTTTTAAAATTTGTATTCCAAAAAAGTTCAATTCCTTATAAATTTTAAAATTACCCCTTAAAACATGAATTATCAATTAAAAGTCTTAAACAATTTTCCGGTCTCGTGGAGCCAACTTTAAGAACTCAATATATATATATATAATCAAGGATATTAAATTTAAAATGTTAGATATATTGTTCTAAGAAAGGTTTTATCTTAAATAACAATATTAAATTTATGAATTTCTAAATACAGAAGAATTTTTAATATATAGAATCTAAATTTAAGAATGATAAAACTATTTTCTGAAAAGAGTTACTAGAAAATTAAAAAAAAACTGCATGCTTTGAGGAAATTAAATTTAAAATGTTAGATATATTGTTCTAAGACAGGTTTTTATCTCAAATAAAAATATTAAATTTATGAATTTCTAAATACAGAAGAATTTTTAATATATAGAATCTAAATTTAAGAATGATAAAACTATTTTCTAAAAAGAGTTATAAGAAAATTTTAAAAAAACTGCATGCATGCTTTGATTTAAATTATGAAATTATTGAGTAAATTAATGATGCATTTTATTTAGCAAAAAATTAATAATAGTAATAATTGACTATGATAATTATTTTTATAATCGAGTTCATAGTTGTGAAATAATGGTTGAGAGATTGATAAGTAATGTGTTAAGAGGGTCATTTATGAGCTGAACTATTTGCAAAAATAAATTAAAATATGAATTAGTTGTTCAATAAAAAATGATATATAACTTCTTTTTTTCTTTTGCATATCAAAAGTGAACTTATTGATATTTTTTTGAAAAAATAATAATAATATTTTCAAGGTGCTGAGTTTATTAGTCCATCCTTTTTTTTTTTTTTTTTTTTGAACACTCCTAAAACTCTTAATTCCCCGTTCAGACTATTAATTCTCCAAATTAATTTTCTACTTCATTCTTGATCAATGACCACTTGTAATGTTCTACATTTAATTATTTTTAATATGAGTAATTAATTTGATACTAAAGGTTAATTGAAAAATTAAATAATAAAAAATAACGTGGCAGTAAATTAATCACATTTCTTCATCTCTGAGTAAGGTTAAAAAAGATTAACAGATTGGGGTGAAGGAAGATATATAATTAATTAAGTGGAAATTTTTATCATGTTGAATGAATCGAACCAATTTGTATTACAAAAACTTCATGTAATCATCAGTTAAAGTAGCATAATCCACTACACAAATTTACCAGAAGTTGTTTTGATCCATACATACTTGGTCTGAATTATAATTTTTCATGGTAAACCGTATGAGTTTTTTTTTTTTTAACAAATAGAGACAACATTTTTTTTTTGTTTCAATATAATAATTAATAGTACTAAAAATAATAATAGAGACGATATTTTTTAACATATTTAAATTAATTATGAAATTAACGATCTATTATCCTTCTACAGAGTGAAAAATTCATAAGTAACATTCAAAGATGATATTTCTTTCGAGCGTGGACTCATATTTCAAATAAACATGAAATTAAACATATGAAACTAATTATTTTTTATATATCAATTGACATATAAATTGATTTTAAAATATTTTTATTATAGAATTAAAAAAAAATTATTGACTCATCAAAACACATGCACATTTTATGCATGTACTACGAAATCCAAGACTTCACTTCTTATACGTCAAATAAAGATAAAGAAACATAGAGAAAAAAAAAGCTAAAAAAACTTTTCTCTATGAATTAAGCAAGATTTCCACCATTTTCTGCATGCAAGAATAAAAAATCACAAACACAATATCCACATTTAAAGCAATATATAAATTTACAAATATAGATTGGTATATTCCCAAATAAGCCATTTTGCATATCCTTGCAATCTTAATTTCCATCTACCTATGCCTCAATGTATGAATATAATATACAATCCTTTAACCTTAATCATGGACTCAATCCTCCCTAATTACCTATAAGTAAGAACACTAGCTAGTTTTTCTCTGTAACTAAAACCTAGCTAGACTGACTTTTCTTCTTTCTTTACAGCAACCATCATGCTTAGCCTCATTTAGCTTCTCTTAAGAAAGGAGAGAGCTACTATTTGCACATGTTACCTGAGGTATTCTTGAGCAACACAACTGTGAAGTCTGTAAAGTTAAGTACAATATCGCAGCAGATTGATCAGGTCACAAAATCTGGTAATAGTTGAGCAGGAAACCTCTTTCTGGTTTGAATATCAAAGCTCTCAAAACCAGAGCTGGAGTGAGAATTTTGGGATGTGTTAATCCCAGAATAGTCAGGTTCCGTATTGGTTCCAATTTCTAGTCTTCTTCCACCCAACTGAATGTTCTGGCTGGAGAGGTAGTTTTGTTGAGTTCCTGAAAGAGAGAGGTTCTCACAATGTGGTAGGCCAAGAGTGAGGGAAACACTGTTTCCACTAAATCTTGGCGTCAACTGCTCAAGGTTAAACCTTCCAAGATCTCCCATTGGATATGCTCCAAATCCACCACTGCTATTTATTAAAGGATAGCCATCCTTGGTTAACCTTTCACCACCAAAATTCACACCGATTTCCCTACTTGTCTCACCTTGTTTCACGTCCATGTCCATGGAGAGGATACTACTTGGAGAATTCTGCACGTCACTACTCCTCGGTTTTTTTGAACTTCTTTGATCAATTCCTTCCATATCAGCTGGTCCAATAAGTGTAAAACCAGCTTGCTGTTGAAGGGGTCCTCCCATGGAAGACATTGAGATTGTGGGGTTTGAAAATTTAGTAGGAGAAGCATTCTGGTTGCTGAGTTTTTCTGCTTGTCTTGAGTGAAGTACTCCTTTAAGTTGCTCTATTTGAAGTGTACTGCTCTCTCCCGGTGCACTAGAATGAGACCCAGATTCCTTGTTCTCATTTTTACTTGCGTTTTCCTCGGAACCATTTTTCTCTTGCTCCTTGATTTCCTCCATGTACATTTCCTCAACCATTGGCTTCCACAGCCGAACTCGAGCATTTATAAACCAATTAGACACCTACATATGATCAATTCACATACGTGGTGGAGATTAGATAATTCATAACAGAAGAAGGAGATTACCTACTCTATATACTTCATTTATTTTGGTTATAAAGAAGAAGTTTAAGGGAAGAGGGAAAATGCTTGTCAGTTGAGCTACAAGCTCATTGGCTACTCTATAATTTATTTGCCAAAGACATATATTGAGAATGAAGAGGATTAATTTTCATACCTGGCTCCTAGTAAGCCCTGTTTGTTTTGCAAGCATGTGCTTATCAGAATCCTTTGGATAACTGCGCTCAGCCAGAAGCAAAATAATTTGTCAGGCAATGAAACTCAGAAATAGCCAATGCATGCATGTGCATGATACCATATACTTGTAAGATCATACAACAAAAACTATTATGAGGACCTTATCTAAAAGATCAGGTGAAACTTCGAGAATGGTTTTTATTAAATTCATCCAATAAACCATTGAGACTTCCGGGAACTTACGGGTGAAGGAAGTGCTCAAAGAGCCAAGCGCGAAGAACGGAAACAGCACGTTCCGGCAATCCTCTCTGCGGTCTCCAAGCATTGTGTTGAACCATTCCCAATTGTTGTAGTGCTCGCTGTTGTCGAAGCTGATGATCCACGTACCTTAGTCTTGAACCTTCAACCTTTGCTCCCATGCAATCCTCTTCACCCAAGCTATTGCTTGTGGCCCTGATTTGAGACGAAATTGTGTCTTTAAGACTCCTGAATTGCTTTGAGATAGTCTGTAATGCTAGGGCAGTGTATGATTTCGCTGCACCAAATCCTGCTGCTTGCTCAAATGAGGAAACTACTACTTGCATTTGGTGGTGGTATTGCCTATATCTTTGTTCCACCTTGAAAAAGCAAGAAACAGATTAAGTACTATAGGACCACATAAGACTTGAGCACTTATTCTGAGGATAGAAAAGAAAAGAAAGTTAGGACTATGACTTTATTGCATGTTTCAAGTAAAATCAGCAACTTGCATTTTCAATAATTTATCAAAAATAAATAAATAAACAAGAAAAAACAGCTGGGTAATTGAAATAACTAGAGCTACTACAGTTTGTCTGAAATGAAATTGACCTAGCTAGTTGATGGACCGGCCTTTTTACATGGGACCTAGCTTAACTAAAAGACGAACATGTATAGTTGCTTTGCATTAATGAAAATAAAGTCTATCGTGCTCTACAAAAATTTCTACCATGTTCTTAGCTATCATCTCTTCTTCTTCCTCCTCCTCCTCCTCATCTTCTCCTTCTTTTTCTCAGTTAATGGCTAGCCAAAATTTAATCTGTGTTTTAGTAATTAATATCTGATTACAAGTTGAAGATGGGGCAACAACAGGAATAAGTATCCAATTTCAAATTTCTCCAGCAAAGAAACTAGAGATCATATATAGTAATAGCAATGCCTAATAATTTGTCTGAATTGTACACAGACATTAATACCTAAAGGCAATATATATATATATATATATATATGCATATATGGATTGTATAGATAACAAGTACTATTAGTGATGAATTTATCTTTCGATGATATCAAAATCAATTTGACAAAGACCGACTCACTCTATAGTTATAACCGAACTTTCAATATCCACTATTGAAACAGCACACGTGAATTTACATGGAGCATATGATAGGTAAGTTTGTAGTGTTTTCCATTTTGAAAGATAAAAAGTCTAAAGCAGTCATCAAACCAAGAAAATCAATCATAGATAATGCAACTTGCTTTGTATGTATACACACAAATGTATGTACGTACCTCATCAAGCATGTTTACAAGCTTTGCCTTCTTCATTTGCAGCTCCTGCCTGTGGGCTGCAGTAAGCTCAGCTCCACGCTTAGCAGTACTAGTTTCACCACCAGCACCTCCACTGCCACTAGACCCATCTCCAGTTATTGATTCTCTAGTCATCTTCACCTTCTCTTTAGTCCCTTCTATCAACCCACTCCGTATTAGGTCTTTCCCTACATTAACAACTTCATCAAGCAACTCCTGTGTAGCTCTCAGGTACTTGGATCCCAAAACCATGTTTTGCATACCGGAAACCCCATTCGACACTGCCGAAACAGACGACGGAGAGTTCCCAGAAACTCTGATTTCATCACCTGTAGATACAACCGAAACATGGGGATGCAACGCTTGAATCTCATGGTGTTCGTTGGTTATAGCCCTATTATATGGTGTCGGTGGTCCCGGTGCTTGCTGAGACGAAAGGCTTAGAGATAATCCTTGTCTTCCTGGAGACACCACCACCGGCCTCCGAAAACCCACTTGCGACGACACGACATCATGGGCCCCACTAGACTCGCTGGCTGTTGCAACTGATGCGACAGAATTCTGATCTGTTGAACCCCAAATGTTATAGTGAACATGATTAGGGACGACCCCGTGTAGGGACGATGGACGGCTGTGATTGTCTGGAGTTAGAGAAGTGATGTTGGAGGAGGGGAGAGGAAGTGGGATGCCGACAAAGTGATGGTTCTGCGGCGGCCCATGAGGAGGGTTTCCAGTGTGTAGGCCATTATTGGAAGCAGCAGTACTACTGGCCGGGTTAAAGAAGATCATATTTGGAGGCTGTTGTTGGTGCTGCTGCTGAGTAGCATCAGAATAAGAGGAGAGGTAGTTAGAGTTCATGAGATAAAGTGTCTGGATCCCATCAGAAGGTGCAGCGGCTGCTTGGATTTCTGAGCTTCCATGAAAGTACGTTGCCATTTAATAGAATTTACGAAAGGCAAAACCAATAACCTCCGAGATTCACTCCTATATAGGCAAACAACTTCTTTGTATCCAAGCTTGAAGCACTGAACAAAGGATGATCAGCCCATTTGATGATTGATTCAGAGGAATTATTGGATCCTGACTTGAACCTGGTGATCAAAATCTGGAGAAATTAATACACAAGTGCAAAAGAGACTGATTATGAATCTAGATATCCATACATACATGATAAAACAAGAAGATCCAAAACATGTATTTACTCTACAACACAAATCACCTACTATCTAGCTAGAAACTTAAAAGATCTGATCTGAAGAAGAAAAGGAGGAGGAAGGTGTAGAATATGTGCTGAAGTTTTATTTATATAGAGGTGGCTAGAAAGGGAGTGGACAGGAGTGGAAGAAAGAGAAAGAGAGAGAAATTAGTTAAGAACAGGACACAAACCCCATCAAAGATCTTCATCCAGAGACAGTAAATTAATGTATAAATAAATGGAAAAAAATAAAAATAGAAAGAATGGAAAGGAACCCATCAAAGAAGTTGCAGAGACAGGTTCAGCAATCAGTACCATTCAGTTATGATTAAAGCAAAGCAATTGCACACGAGGGAAGGAAGGATGGAAGGAAGCAGTAGTGGCGCTTGCTATATCTATCCATTTAAGGACATGAGTTAAATATATATGTATACAGCAACTGTCTACCAAGACACCAAGCTCTTTAGACTACTTGGGGAGGGGGCTGATGATCTTGTCAGAGAGAGACTAAAATTTTGTTACCTGCCGTTCTTCATGTAAATATGATAATGATAAATACGAATGAAAGATAGAGGCATTAAAAGGTCTCACAGGAAAGATACCCTACTTTAGTTTTTCACTCAAGTGTACTAGTCCTCACATTTATGGTTTTTTCTTTTACATTTTCTCATTGTTTTGAGACTGTAATAATTAACATGTTTTTATAATAATGCGTTGTTGTTTTCTCATTATCTGATATACATATTTATGTCTAATTTAGTCATTTTCTCATATAATTTAAGTGTTTGTATATTTAAATATTTATATCTGAATACGAGTGTTCTAGAGTTAATCCCAAGTTGGAAACTATGTGGGGGTGTGTGTGTATATATATATAAAATGTTGATCTTAACGTAACTTATTAGTACCTCACCTCTTCAGTATTTTGAGTTAGGCACCACACCATGGATAAAAAAACAAGAAAAATTCCACTGACTTTACCCTTTGCTTTTCAAATCATTTGATGCAGGCACGTTTGATAAGGAACTATAAAATAAAGGGACAGATCTATCTTAGCCATAGAGAGAGAGAGAGAGAGAGAGAGGGTTCTAAATGTAAGGAAAGTGGGTCAACACAGAACAGAGGATACAAGCAGCTGAAAAACGAGGAAATGTCTGCTTCCACAAAGACTTTGGATTGATTTTGCAGTTCGCCAGAGAAGAGAAAGGTTTAAGGGAGTCCTCTTATTGGCCTTTCGTTAGACCTTATAAAATATCTCCTTGTCCTCCATTATTTATAAACTTTTTCGTGTCTGTGTTTGTGTGATTATACTTTGCTTGCCTTTTTTTTTTTTTTTTTCGTTTGGCTGGATGCAAGGGATGAAGATAAAGTGTTTGCGAGACACCAAGAAACAATCCCCACTCTTTCGAAAGCAACTACCATTATCAAACAAAGTTCTTCAAGTGACCCTCAACCATTTAATCTAGATAGTGGAGGCATATATGTCGCCAGTTCCAAAGATTATCAAGCATCCCAAAATAATTTGATTCATTTCAAGCACAACTTATAAACCATTTAGTGAATTTTGTATGAACTTGGGTTACAAAAGATTTTTTTTTTTTTTGGTGAAAAAAATGCGTATATCGAAAGACTGATAAAATATAATTAATTTAGTTGGGAATATTACGATTTCTATACTCAAACATTTTTCATTGTACATATATAAAAAATAAAGATTAAAGTATATTTCTTCATAACTAATGTTAAACGGATATAAATATACCACCTGATCAGAAATCACTTACGAAATTAATCCTAGTATAAATGAGGTCTTCTCTCCTTAATCATTTGAATCATTGCATTAATTGATTAATTCCAATAACAAAATTCATTAGTTTTTTTATTTATAAATGAAAGGGTTGAACTTGAATTTTTTTTTTTTTGTAATTAAAACAAAACGTATAGTCATCAAACTAAGAGAAATTTTATAATATATAAATAGTAAATAATGACATGTATAGTAATTACTTTATAAACTCACTTTGGAAAGAGAGATAAATCAAAAAAAGAGAGAGAAAATTGAAAAAAATTGAGCGAACGGAGAAATATTTTCACTAATTACTATACATGCCACTAATTACTACTTGTGTATTATAAAATTTTTCATCAAATTAAAACTCATGTCCGAAAGTAATTAAATTTTTTCTTCTAACTTAATTAAGCTAAGAACTGCGTCTAAGTAAGTTGGCATCCAATTGAAAAACAAAAAAAAACAAAAAGTTGAAGTGAATTTTTATCATCGGTAAAATGTGCAATCGCTTGCCGTACTTTTTATCTCTTTTCGTAAGAGATATATATATATATATATATATATATATATATATATATATATATATACACCTGTGTGTGTGTGTTTGCTTGTGCTAGTTAACTGTATTCGCAATTATTAGAGGTTTCCTATTTCAACCAATTAAAGCATGCCAGCAACGGAATCTTATGTTTGTGTAGAAAGGGTCAAGTTCGAGTGCTTGACTTAGCTATCATTGCGAACTTTCTCCATTCTTATTGTTTCAACTTCAAGGTGATTGTATCGCTGCTGCTACCCTCTGATCTCAATCTTGTCACTCTCCTTTTAAGCATGGCTAGCTAGCTTTACTGGCTAGGGATTGCAATACCCTTTCTCTATAAAGAAAAGACTACTACTAGCAAATCAACAGTGAAAAAGGCTTTAGCTAAAATAAAATATTGTCATTACATCACCAACAAGTCAGCTGGCTAGCTCATTCAAACGCCATCATGAATCACTAAAACCTGTATATTTTATACTTAATTATATAATGCATGATAGCTATGTATTAAAGATTATATATAATATAAGATGGTTTTCTATCCCCATCCTGATTAATTTACAGATTAAAAATGTTATTGAGGCCATATATCCTTGTCAACCTAAGCTTAATTAAATCATGTCATGAAGAAAAGTAAAACAAGGTTGAGTTTTTTTTTTTCTCAAGTGCTTATATTTTTTGGTTTTCCCTTTTTGTTATGTCATATTCTTGTAAATCTTTGCACATACAGTCAATGGTGGATTTAGAGGGGGCAGCAGGGGCCATGGTCCCCAAAGTTTCAAAAAAATTTCAAGATCATCCCGAATTTTTTTAAAATTTTCATAAAAGTGCTATGAATTGGCCCCTCTGGGAGTAAAAATATACATTTTGCCCACAACTGCAAAAAATCTGGACCAGTCATTGCATATGGGATTAATGCAATAATATTGCATATCCAAGTCTGCAGTTGCGTTGGCCAAAAGATATTTTCCTCACTATTACTTCAATATTTTATAGGAAAGAGTTACCATCACAGAATACATTTGCATGCGCTAGTTTTAGGTTAATCCCACTAAACAATATTTTGGAGTTTGTGCGGATTTATCCAATTTAAATATGTGTGTTTAAATAAATATCTTTACTTTTTAAATATAAAAAATTCTCCAGCGTATAATTAAAAAAAAAAGTGAAATCATTTCACCTTTGATATATCTCTTTGAAAGTAATATTCTTCATTGATTCATAGTATAAATTTTAATTTGTCTGTTTGTCATGCTTTGATTTATAAAAAGTTTTTAAAAAAACATAGAATTCAAATACTTTAGATTGATATTATTTTAAATAATAGAGCTTCAAACATATATTCAAACAAAAATTAGGTTATAAATATTCAAGTAAAAGAAAAAAGAGTACAATGAACACTCTAGCAATATTTTTCCCTAATTACTGTCCTTTACTTTTTTTTTTTTTTTTTAATGTTAAGTTATGCCATTTTAATGTTTAAAATACTAGGGACAAAAAAATCCAGTTGTGTAGTCTTCGTCTAACCTCTCTCTATATATGAGCATGCTTATAGTAGTAAACAAAGTAACTGCTACATGGACAAGACAAATAATATAGACTAACTTAGGGTGTTCATTATTCAATGAAAATCAAAAAATCGAACCGAACAAGTATCGAAATATCAATTTTGATGTGGTTTTTTTTTTTTAGAAATTTTAAAAAACCAAACCGATATATAACCGGTTTTTGGTTTTATTTTTTAAAAAACCGATTAACCGAATAACCAAATTATTAAAAAAAAAATTATTCATGAGTGAAACATATTTTGAAAATTTTTTAAATTCATCTTGCATGATATGCTAGGGAATAATGATACTTTTACATGCTTGGTTTGAGGTTTAAAAGCTAGTGGAATAGAGTAACTTTTTTTTTTTTAATTGTTCTATTTGATTAAAAGGTAATAGAAAAAGGTTGAAATTGGAGAATCCCGTGTTATGTATTCTTTAATTCCATAGATGGATTTTATTATGCTACTTAACATTCCTTATTACGATGGACATTATGGATTTTATTTGAAGCCAATGTAATCGGGGGCATTTGTTTTGTGAAAAATATTTATTAGTGTTTGTTAAGTAATAATGTGAAAAATATGATTATAGTACAACGATAATGATATTATGGTAATGAGGTAGTTGTGCTAGTGTGGTGGTGGTGCTAACGGCAGCGAATGTTGCGGTAATTGAAATAGTTGAATGGTATCTTGAGTGGATTCATGTGCAAAAAATATTTTATGAAATTGAAGTAAATTATATATTTGTTCACTAATCAATGTTGATCATGCTTAAATTAATATTAATTTATTTTAAAAAATTTAAACTTTTCTCATAAATTATTTCATTTTTTTTAACTTTTTTTAATTTCTTAAAATAAAA